TATATTCAAAGCTGTATCCATGGAAAGCAAAGGAAGGATACCCCATAAACACTACCATTTGGACTGCAGTTAAATAAATAAATGCATGTCCAAGAGAAAATAAGCAGTGCTCACTAGAACACTGCAAAGATGGTAACTGCTGTGTTATACCTTCCTGAGAGCAGAAGAAGTGTTCAGCATGGCACAGCCGTAGAGCTTGCTTTCTTCCTTCTTTGCATCATCCTTCTAGATGATTCTATCATCCTCCCATGGCTTCCCACTTCAGAGATTTACCATAATTAACAATAATTAATGAAAATAATTAAATACCTCCTAGAATAATAAAATGTCAAAGACATAAAAAAATTAAGTTCAAGATCTCATGATTTATGCATAGAGCCATAGATTTGTCAAGGGTCCTACTGAGTAACTTTAAGACAGAATGGATTGTACTCTGTCTTTTTTTAATGTTGTCTTTGGAAGACTTCTAAAAATCATGAAATAGCATTCCTTGCAAATAGAACTGCTGTGAGATAGATAGACAGACAGACAGACAGACAAACAGACAGACAGACAGACAGACAGACAGACAGACAGACAGAGGAGAAAACCCTCCAAGGTTCCTGGGGTACATTAAGGGATTTCATCATTTACCAAAGACTTCCAAGGGCAGGTTCATTTGGAAAACAAGCCCCACAAAACTCTTCTGAAACCCAGCATTTCTCAGCCAAAGTCCCAAAGCCAGACAGAAGGAGTGCCACCTCATTCCAGCACCATGGTGTCCCTTCTGGCCTCAGCTGTGGAAGCCAGGTAGCCCCTTGCTTCGGATATTTTTTCACAGAGTTTGTCTCAGCACACAGAAGGGAAAAAAAGCAATGTCCCAAAGAAAACAGTGAGAGCTTCTGGGTACCGTTCATGCTTTGGGATGAAGCCCTAACACAGCCCAGTCCACAGACAGACACTTGATGTTCACTGTCTTCTCATGTTATTCCAGTAAATGGATCCACTGAGGGATACAGTGTTTTATTCTCTGAGACTTTAAAAAATTCCTTTGTATCATTTATATTTCTGGCCAATCCATGAATGATTTGATTACTGATTGATGAGAAACGTCCAGCTCACAACCGTGCCGTGTTCCAGCGCTCTGGAAGCTGGTTAGGGAATTCAGCATCTATTTCCCCACAGTGTTGCCCAGACTAGCCATGAACTCTTGGGCTCAAGCCATCCTCCTGTCTCAGTCGCCCAAGAAGCTGAGGATAAAGGCATGCAGTACCATGCCCAGCTAAAACAATATTGTAAGTGGTCGGTTTCCAGGCCAGACCCAAAAGCATTCTTCACTGGGATGCTGAAGACCTGGGCTTTTACAGGAAAAGGGAGCAGAAAACATTTTGAAGATGTATTCATAAACTAAACCAAATGTGAAAGATTTAGTCCCCTTTAATTCAGAAGCCTGGTTGACAAAGCAACCAATAAAAGAGGATCAAGACTTTTAAGGGGAGACTTCTGTTTATGAGAATTTGAGGAACCTGACACAGCAGTTTGTCACTTTGTTCAGTTTTACCGCTAGCCATTTTCTTTCCATTTTTCTTCCTACAAGTATGAAACAAGCAGGGTACACAAAAGAAGGCAGTAAAGGATAGGGGAAAGGTGGAAAATAAAAATGTTTGAAAGAGATGTCCTTCCTTGAGGGTATGGAGTTAAATCATAGCCCTGTAGAATTGGCTAAGCCAGGGTGAGCTGGTGAGGAAAATGTGAAGAATGGAGGAGACAATGGGACACCCAGTGTTAAGAGGCCCTTGGCCAGGTGGAAGAACTGAGTCCACTATTTGGTCAGACAGTGCCCTTTCTGACCATAAGGTGGTGCCATAAGCCCAGCCAGTCTGCCCCAATAGGCTGGGGCATGTAGAGGGCGGAGCTCCCCAGTGTAAGTCATATTCCCCACTCAGCCTTTGGACCCTTCAGGAAGTCTGTACTAGAGACCTGTGTCACCTTGTAATCACTGCCTCAGTGAGCTAGGATGACCCCATCCTCCAGGGCCCCACCTGCTCACATGGGAGAAAAGTTGCCTTTTGTCTGCTGGACACCACAACCCACATGGAGAGTTCAGCCCATCCCTTTGCACTCCCTTCATCTTGTTCCAAATGCCAGTACCCATCCCAGAGCTTTCTCTGAGTCCTAAAAAGAAACCAAAGAGTGCCCTGCATAGCATCTATAGATACCTGCAGGATGACAGCACATTTTGGCAGCATGGCCCAGCCTTAGCGCATGACTAGCTATCTAGTCAACCTGGTCTCCCTCTTTAGCATCAGACTGGACAACTTCATTCCCGACACAAAACTCAGGATGTCCCCTCTTCTTGTGTTTTGCCTCCACAGAAACATCCTTCCCCTTGCCTCTGTTTGGCAATACTCTCCTCTAGCTTAAACCCAAACACTTCTCTCTCCAAAACCTTTACCCTTGCACCAGATTGAGGATGACTGGTCTCATGTCACAAGTCTGGATGTCACAGACAGAACAGATCTGTCTCAGCAGCTGCATGCCCCCAAACTATCCACAGACACTGTTAACACAGGTCAGCACTGGCTGGCCCTCCTTGTTCCTCCAAGTCCTTGTTCCTATTTAGGGTGGACATTAGGTTTAGAGAAACATCATAGTTCCAACCTTGGTGTGCAGTGCAGTGCCTGTGCTCAATCCATGCTAGCTTTAGAAGTGTTATCCACTGTCCCCAGCCCATGCCATTCATCTGCCAAACCCAACCTGAGGGACTGATGAGTTAAAGGGATCTGCAGGGAAAGAGGGATGGAAACAAAGGCACCAGGGTGTGCCACACCCTTCTCCAACCTCATTCTGCCCTGGTCCTACAGCCCAGAGGATTGCCCAGGAAACCGCCCAGTGAGTCTGCAGCCCTGATATGAGATAGAGTGGAAGAGCACCCTTATCTGGGTGCTTCTTTCTGCCTCTGTCACGTGGTTAAGACCAACCTTCACAAAGGGCTGCTATGTGTGTTTACAGCACCACACACCTAGCCACTGTGTAAGCAAAATTGGCTCAGATGGGAACTGTGAAATTCCTTTGAAAGTTGGAGTAAAAGCCTCAAGATGATTTTTTTAAACCATGCAGCTTCTCTGAGGGCAGGTGCAGGGCCTCACGAAACAGGACATGGTGGGTTTCTGTCCCTTGAGTCTCCAGATCCTGATTCTCTGGTAGGTGCCACTTCTGTTCTCAGAAGAGGCCACAGAGGTCTGCTCACCTCTAAAGTTACATAAGGCTGAGGGCCGCTTGACTCTCACAGGAAATTTTCGACATGAAAAGGGGGGGGGGACCAAAATGTTGTTTGATTTGTTTTTAAGAATGTATGGGGGAGAGGGGGTTGTAAACTAATAAAGGAAGATAAATTAACTATTTAAACAAGCAAGGTAGTCAATGAGGATAGTCCATCATTATACCCACTGTTCACCACCTTCCTCAAAAGATGAATAAGGAAATCACTGCTGTTAGAGTCATGGACACGAATGGCCAATTTCCTCCGGCCATCAAAGACTAAGACATTCAAAGCCACCATTTCCTCGGGGGCTCAAATGATGGAAAGGTTCTATGGACAGAACCTCCAAGCGGTCCTGCCCCTGGAAAGCCCATCCCAAAGACACCTTCCCACATCCTCCTTTGCTTCCTCCAGTCTGAAGCATCGGTCACCCTGACCCCCAGCCTCGGTCAGCCACCTCCTCGCTGGAAGGCAGCTGGCTGGCTCCCAGGAAAGCTGAGCGACAGCAGAAAAGGCAACCTGCACGCCCATCTCTGCAACCCCTCCCTCAGGCGTGTCACACACGTAGGCACAGAAGAGGCAAAGAGTGCGCCTCGCTGCGGAGGCCCAGGGTTGCAGTCGCCGCGGGCGGTGGGTGATGAAACTTTCCAGGCACATTACTGCAGAGTGCGCGGGCGAGCGGGCAGTCGGGCAAGGACGTGGGTTGAGAGCTGGTACCCAGGCTCACCTGTTCTCCAAGACTAGGGTGGGGAATGCGGGGGAGGGGCAAGTAGCGCCAATACCGTACCAGGGCCAGGTGGCGCTAGGTGGCAGCGCTTGTCTCTCCACCCTCCCCCAACCAAGCAAGCCCCCCGAACTAAGTCGTCGGGTTAACGAGGCCAAGAGCAGCAGTTCCTGTCCAGGGCCAGCGCGAGGAAGACGTGAGCGTGCACACGTACACACTCAGCAGGGGGAGAGGCGCTCCCAGCGGCGCCCAACTTTCTCCCTGCCTCCTCCAGCAGGGGAGATAGCTGAGGGCGATCTGATTTCCAGGGTGCTTAAGGAGGGGGTCCAAAAGAAGGAGAAGAGATGGAGAAAACATCCCGGAACTTTGGGGGTTTTGCCTTTATTTTTGCATCAGATGACTGAGGAGTAAAGGAAATCCTTAGTTGGGCGAGTGGCACTTAGGAAAAATGGAAGCGGGTGTTTGGAGATGCCTAAAGTTGCCTGTTAAGCTCCGGCCTCCGGAGCACGCGATGCTCCGCAGCCGTCTGACCCAAGGCTGCCTGGGCCTCCTAGCGACCCGCCAGGAAATGATGCAAGTCTGGATTGTCACCTGGATCTCTGAAGCCCAGACAGGAATCCGTCTGGGTTGGGGGAGGGGCGAAACAAGACGCCCCAGGTGTTGCAGGACCCACCAAATCCGGGCAGAAAAAAGTGAGAGGTGGACTGTCGGGCCAAGTGCTTCAGGGTTTTGGCGCCCGTCTTCAAGTGCCTGTTTTGTAAATGCCAAGAGTCACGACGCTTAGGAATTCCCATCAGAGCTCAATTTGCTCGCACTATCTCTGCCCAGGTAGCTGTTCCAAACTATCCAGGCCTCGGGGCTGACAATGTCACTGAGTTCCTAAGAGGAAACTTTCCCAGCCGGAAGAGAGCCCTAAGAGGACGCTATCTCAGTAAAGACCGACCCTCCCCGCCCTACCCCACCCCCTTTTTTTCGTTTTTAGTTGCAACTGGAGCTGGCATCGCTTTGATTTTTTTTTCCCCTCAGTCGGATCGGCCATTGCCCCGGAGCACCCGCACACGCGCACGCGTCTCGGGCCGCGCTCACACACACGCACGTAAAAGCGTGGCCGCGGCCAGGTCGGCAACTTTGTGGGGCGCTCTCCGCGGCTCTCCGCTTCCTCCCGTACTAGTTGGCGCAGGCCCCGCCTCCCGGCTGTGTTGTCAAACGGGCCGGGGTCTCGGATTGGTCCAGCCTCCGGGACAACACCTGCTCGACTCCTTCATTCAAGTGACACCAGAGCTTCCAGGGATATTTGAGGCACCATCCCTGCCATCGCCGGGCACTCGCGGCACTGCTAACGGCCTGGTCACATGCTCTCCGGAGAGCTACGGCAGGGCGCTGGGTAACCTCTATCCGAGCCGCGGCGAGGAGGAGGGAAGGGGCGAGCAAGGAGGAAGAGTGGGAGGAGGGGGAAGCGGCGGAGGAGGAAGAAGAGGAGGAGGGGCGCACAAAGAATCCAGGTCTCTCGGAGGGAGGGTGATACCCAGAACCATGTGTGCGGAGCGGCTGGGCCAGTTCGTGACCCTGGCTTTGGTGTTTGCCACCTTGGACCCGGCGCGGGGGACCGACGCCACGAACCCTCCGGAAGGTCCCCAAGACAGGGGCTCCCAGCAAAAAGGCCGCCTGTCCTTGCAGAACACAGGTAAACGCGTGCGTCCTGCAGCCGGGAGCTGCCGGGGAAACGTCGGTGCACGCCCGCAGCGCTCCCGGTGTGTTTAGCCCCCATCCGGCGACCCGAGCTCACCCCGGGCCGCGCAAACTCTTGGTGGCTTGGGACGTGCAGAGGGAAAAACGAGGAGAAGCGAGGTCTGGGCTGGGCTCCGAGCGCCCGGAATCCGCACGTGCTAGCAGGGTGATGAAATAGCTGAGGCAGGACTTGTTGCTACTCTCCCCCGGGGCTGAGGGGAAACGAGGCAGCGCTTGCCGCTGCCAGCTCCAGCCAGAGTCCCGGGCCCTGCGCAAGGCGCACTTCGTCCAGGCTAGCCCATGCGAGGCACCGAGGGTCCTTAGAACTGGACTCGCCCTGCGCCCAGAGAAATTCTCTATCAAGCTGGCCAGCCTGGCATGGACTGTCTCCCCTTCCTTTAAAGATTGCTGGACATCCCAGAACTTTTCTGGCCAGTTAAATGGCATCAAGAAGTTTTCCTTTGGGGGAGGAGGTAACCAAAACATACCTCTGTGGTGCTGCAGCGGTCCCTTGCTCCTAGCCAGGTCAGCAAGGGAAGAAATGTTAAAACTACCCAAATCGTGCGCCGGCCCTGCTCACCGGCAAGCTGCAGCGCAGAGCCTGGCTTGCGGCACACGGGGCTGGCCTTCTTCCCAGCTCCCGGGAGAGAAAGAAACGTGTCTGCCGCTCGGCTCCATGCTCACGCCCCCACCCCCGCTATTCCTCGGGGCCGTGAGAACGATGCGGCCGTCGCTTGCGTGCGCTCCTAGCCTGAGCCGAAATGCACAAATGCGGGTCAGGGCCGCCCAAGTGAATGATCGCTGTCCTGCGGGAGGCCTCACGTGAAGTCAATTCAGTCTCTCACCCGCCCTGCCCCCTCTTAGGTTTAGGTGCCCCACCATAAATACACACCCCTCACTCTCCCTTGATTTCATCTAATACAGATTTTTCGACTCGAGCCCCGTCCTTCATCCAAAATACACTTTCCTGGTGTAATTTTGCGGTTGGTTTAAATCGTAGAACTAACTGAGTGAGCTGAAGAGGGCATGAGACTGCACTTCTGCAGCCTGACAGCTCCCAGTCTGTCCTTTCAGGCTGATGAATTAGGACATCTTGGAAGAAGTAGCAGGCTCTGAGGCCTCAGAGATTCTAGGGGTTAAGTGGTATCTCACACCAGATCCCTAATTAAAAGGAACCTCCAAAGGGGATGGTGGCTGGTGGCAAGGCCAGTCCCCCACCTGCTTTCATTCTGAGGCTGTTGCCAGCTACAGCCTCCCTGGCCTTGGCATTTTTTAATGCAGGTGGTTTGGAGGCACGGCTTTAATAGGAATTTTGTTTTGATTTTTAGGTGTTGAATCATAAAGCTGAACTGAAGTTGCCTTTTGGATGCTTTCGTCTGGGGTCAGGAAAGAAATGGCCAGATCTTAAAGGCAGTGGCTTGTGCAGCCCCAAGTAGAGAAAGCCATTTAATTAATGAAATTTGGTCTTTTTAAAAATCTTACTGTGGGTTTCAAAAGCTGAAATATTTTCTGTTCTTAAACTGAGTACTCCCACATATACTGTCATAAAGTGGAAAAGAAAGGGGGAGAGAAAATCCTCAGACTAACTTCTGACTGATATTTGTTATTTTGGGGCTAATTTTACAAAAATTTATAAATACCAGCTCTTTTCGTAAATAGTAGTAAATAATGACATTTTATTTCCCTGACTCCTTAGATTCTGAAATTAGCACAACTTTTTCCTCTTTAACTTTTCTCTAACCCTTAACTAATTGTCTGCTAATTTTTTTTTTTTTTCATTTTAGCAGAGATCCAGCACTGTTTGGTCAACGCTGGGGACGTGGGGTGTGGTGTGTTTGAATGTTTTGAGAACAACTCTTGTGAAATCCGGGGCTTACATGGGATTTGCATGACTTTTCTGCACAACGCTGGAAAATTTGATGCCCAGGTAAAACATATAGCATGGAGAATATTCTGGGTTGGTGTAGCATGGTTGAAATCTTGACTGGAGGACTTGCTCACACATTTCCTGAAGTGTTCTTTGAGGCCGTTTGATGCTTACAGGTATAGAAAAGGGCACCAATGTCTGCTTTGTGCCAGTGCTTGGCTTTCTGAACTTGCCATTAGGTCAAATCCTATGCAGGTTAAACACCATGTCCAAACAACTAGAACCCGGTCCCCAAAACTGTATTAGGAAGAGAAGGCTGAAGTAGCAGGGTTCCTAGCTGTAGGTAGCAAAAGCTCTTCTAGTATATATGTGGGCAGGCAGCCTAGATAATTCACAGCCTCCAGACAGCATGGAAGAGGCTCATCTCCCTGCCTGACTGAATCTCACTTGTCTTATTCAAAACTGAATCCACCTCAGATTTCCCAAGGTAAAGTTGATTTGCTGCTTAGGACAAAAAAAACTGTAAGCAAGCTGATGGTTCTGGCACAGAGGGACCAAGTATGTGTTTAGATGGCATGAGGCATTAGGCTCCTCTTGGTTTCCTGCCCCGGCTCTCAGCCCTGTTGAAACACCCTGTTGTTAATATCTCATAAACTTCCTCTACCATTCCATTGGGGCATGGTGACTAAGTTTGGAGGAGGCCAACAGTTGAGGTGTGATTTAGACATGTCATCAGTCACCATCCTGACATCCTGTGGATAGCCTCACAAAGCAAAGCCTGGGAACTAGAAAGGGATGTGACGGGGCGGCAGCCTAAATTGCAGAGGATATGAGGTAGCAGAAGGGGAAACAGAAATGGGAGGAAAGAGGGAGAACTTTGAACTCCTTGCTGCTCCTTAGAAAAGCACCCCTCCACCTCAGAACCAACTAGAGCTAGGACACACAATAGGAAATCCGGAAGAGGGGAGTGTATTGAGGGCCTTCCCACAGGATGTCAGAGAAGACTTAAAAAAAAAAAAAAAAAAAAAAGATTGCCACAGCCCTCACATAAATCCATCTTGCTTGTTTTCTCAACCAATAGGAGTATGTTCTCAAGTTAGAGGCATCCCTTTCAAGTCACTTCTTGGTGTATGACTATTTAATAAAGTGCCAAGCCCTGCTCACCACCCCATCTGGCTCCAGCTAGAAAATCAAAGAAAAGGGCACCACAGGGTAGGCATGTGTGCCACATGGGTTTGCAATCATCAGACACTATTTGGAGGCATTTCTAAAGAGAAAACCAAAACAAACAAATATACTGGCTAGCTTCCCACTTCCTACCTAAATTGGTTCACTTTCTCAACTCAGTGATTTCCAGACCTGCCACAGAACAAAAACAGGTTATCTTCAGACAGCTTATTTCCACAGCAATTGAAGGGAGATTCCTGAGTAGATAGATACCTGGGTATCTACCCAACACTGCCTCCAGGCCAGGGAAGTTGATAAGAGTAAAATCAGGAGCTTGCCCCCACATCCTGACAGCTGTCTCCTTTCTGGCCTTGGCACAATTGCCTGAGGTTGCCAGGAAGGAGAGCTGGGGCCACATGTATGCCTGCCTGGCTGTGTCACCCCTCTTAAGACAGAAGGGAAGATGCTATTGGATGCTCCTGTCCCACTCACATGTTACCAAGCTGGATGCCGGGTGGGCCTTTTAGAGACCATAATCCTAACAGTCTAAAAGCAAAGAATGTTCCTCCTGGAGGCATGAGCTGGAGCACTGGAACTAAATGGGAGGCTCCAAGAGCACCACTTGCCAGGGATGGAGAGCAAACAAGAAGTGTGCCCTTGTTGGTACTGGCAAAGGAGTCATAGCCCAATCCCCTGGTGTTCCAGGGAATTTGCTACCAGGCAGTCACCACCTAGCTACCTGGAGGATGCCCCAGTTCCAGGGAAACTAGAAGAACAACTGGGGAAGAGAGAGGCAGATCTGTTGGTGTACAGAGCTCACATCCCACTTGGGCTTGATGACAGGGATGCCGTGTTACTCTGGGATGTAGCCTCCTGCCTGGAACCACATCAATCCAAGTGGAACCTTGGTCCTCTGAGATCAAACACTCCTGCGCAAGCCTAAGGCTGCATGCCATCCTGGCTAGTGACAAAATCTTGTCTCTTCTGCACCCTCCCTTTTGTGTCCTCCATCCTCAGGGGAAGTCATTCATCAAGGATGCCCTGAGATGCAAGGCCCATGCCCTGCGGCACAGATTTGGCTGCATAAGCAGGAAGTGTCCAGCAATAAAGGAGATGGTTTTCCAGTTGCAGAGGGAATGCTACCTGAAGCACGATCTGTGCTCAGCAGCACAGGAGAACATCGCCGTGATCGTGGAGATGATAAATTTCAAGGACCTCCTGTTGCACGAGTGAGTAGCACCCCTATCCCCAGGAGAATGGGAGGGTCACCTGGCAAGGGTGGGGCCCTGGGGGCCAGGAATGTGTTTGAGGATACTACCTCTGGAGGTGAACTCCCTTCAAGTGGATACATTTGCAGTGTACCTCAGCAAACTAGAAAGCCCCTGAAATCCATCAGATTCCCACAAACAGAAACAAACCGTTATTTTTACTAAGTTCAAAATAGCTACCATCAGAAGCACTCCATCCTCCCCATGGCCAAGACCTATCGGGTTGCTGCATGATTGGAGTAGCTCATGGGTGTTGGTACAGCAGCTGGCACATACTAACATTTACCTGCCTATAGGTACTAGGTACTATACCCAGTATGTTACATGAAATGTTCACCCAGTCCTCACATCAACCTTTGTATCTCCAAATCCTCATCACAGAAGAGAAAATGGAGCCCTGCTGAGGTGAAGGACTCACAGTTAGGGAGAAGCAGAGGTAGGGGCTGGGGTCCAGGCAATGTGGCTACGGTGCCTTTGCTCTCGAAGGCTCCAATATAATCAGCAGCTTTTTCAGCTTTCAGAGCTCCCTGTTTCCTTCTCTATCCACAGAAAACATAAAACGAACATCAGAAACTTTAGTAGGCTAAATATGCTTGCTAAAATGAACTCAAAGAGTCATGATCCAATGATAGAACCAAACCATCCATTCCTTGCCACTTACCCCAGTTGTAACATCCTGGACTTGCAGAGCGGTAAACCACATGGATGCACTGTTGTTTCTAACATGCATTGTGGTCCACAGGCCCCAAAGACAGAGATCTAGAATGAAAAGGAAGCCACCAGTTCGGCAGACCAGTGCTAACCACTGCCCCCTTTATAGCCATCTCCATCTTCCATGGTGACCCCCTTGGGCCAAATCAGCACAACTTTAGGGACTTTCATCCCTCAGTTCATTGCACAACCTTCTCCCAGTTGTATCACCAAGCATGCCACCTTCGCCGCACTAATAATGCCTAGATTCTGAAACAGCCATCTCCTCTCTCTGCCCATTCAGTTTAAGGTCTTTGGCAGCTTGCAGCACCTTGATACAATGTAAAATTATTCCTGGTGAAATTCTGAAACCAGCTCTTTCCAAAAGCAAAATAATGTTGCTTGGGTTTTGGACCATACTAATACTTCACAACATATTTTTATTCTTCCAAATATTTACAAAGGAATAATAGCATTGACAATAGTAATTGTCTTTTATTTCTCTCTGGTGTGCCAAGACGTTGGCCATGGGCTATCCATGGACTACTACATTTTTCTTTCCCAACCAACTAACTACAAGATTAAAATTAGCATCTCCATTTCATAGAGAAGGCTGGTGAAGCTGAGAGAACTTAAATTTCTTCTTTGTGAGATTTGATTCCTGCTTTGCAGCCTACACATCCATGAATGAGGGAGTCTCAGTTAAATTGTGGAGTATTTGCACACGACTTAGCATCCTCTCATCTACTCTGGATGACTTAGAATACCTAGAAACAATGCAACAGCAGTGTAAGTGGTTGTAAGTCTACAGTGCTTAGGAAATAACATGAAAAACATCTGCTTCAGCACAGAGGCAGGTTGCTTCCAAAACACTTGTCTTGAATCCACAGGCACAGAGCTGTATATAACTGAAACTTCATGTGAGGAATAGGCCAGTGGTCAGAATGCCAACTACCCTGCTCCTTCCTGGCCTGTTCTTGCTAGACCTGCTAAGGCTTTTCCACTGTGAGAATCGTTTCCTTCAAGGTGCTCTTGAAAGAGGCCCATGTTCACTGCCAAAGCTCCTCTGTCTCAGTGGTATATGTAAGATGACTTCTTGGTCTTGAGGATGGGGGCCTGCTAGAGGCCTATGGCATATTCATGGAGTATGTAGACTGTGAGTATCTTCTGAAGAAAGGTCTTTGGTAAAACTGAAGCCTTTCAAGTTTGGGGAACACATACCCCTATCCTAGAATTTAGGAAGGGTTAGAGCACTGTGGTATCTAGTGTCTCTTCCACAGAGATATGGCCTCCAGGCCAGGGACTCTTCTTTTGCAGGTCCCCCACACCATTTAGAGTAAGCAACAGCAGCCAACACTGACCTGCTCTGCAAAAGCAGGTGGCCCACCCTGTGCAGAGGTGTGGGTGTCTTAACAGTGCCAGGAGACCACATGCAGGGCCTCCTCCTGCTGCTAAGCCGTGACTTCTGGGCAGTGAGTTTGTGCCAAACTCCAGCTCCTTGAAAAACCTCCATTTCTCGTCTCCACACAGCGATGCAATGCCCCAGTTTCGACTTCAAGCTGAATTGCCTGAACTTTTCCAAATTTTCAAGCAGCTTAACTGATTAAAGGGTCCTTTCAGTCCTGAAATGCCAAGAAAGCCATCTCAGAGTATGTGGCAACAGTCACAAACAGGAGAGTGTGAGCCAGATTTGCCTTTCGCTTTAAGGAGGAGGAAGTCACTGCAGAATCCAAACCACCCCATTCCTCTACAATGCTTGTGCCAGGAGCAGGGATGGCAGCAATGTCCAATCTGCTGCAAGCTGCCCCTCTCGCTGCTGCCTGTCTACCCCACTCTCCTTATCATCTGCCTCCCCCTAGCTGTGGCAGCCTCCCTTGGCCTCTGCACACCCTGTCACTAGGGTGCTGGCAGCCACCAAGGATTTGGAGCCTCAAGCACATCCCCCTCCCTCAGCCTTGCTGACACTCAGTTGAGTGCTGGGTTTTGTCATCAAACAGGCTCAGCCTGCAGCCTAAGAAGGCACCATGCCAACCCAAAGCACGGCTTAGATTAATTTACTTGGCCACACACGCCCTCCCCACAGGACTCTCAGGCTTCGGGCCTGAGAGAGAAGACAGAGCCAGCTGAGAAGAGGGGGACTAGACCTGCCTCAGGAGGTCTGTGTGCACCTTACAGGTCCAGGGTTCAATGGCAGACACACCATGATGGCAAAGACCTCAATGACAGCTGGGTATTCCTGGGAGACTCTTTCAAAGACAGAGACTTAAAGGAAGGAGTCAATTCAGAATACCGGATAGTGACCAAACAGCTTGCTCCCTCTTTGCAGATGGGCTCAGTGGACTTGAGCTTCCTAAGACAGTGTTTGTTTTCAGGAGGTGGGGTGGGGCATGGACCACTCTCCGCATCCCTTTCTGTGTCACGTCCTCCTCCAAGTGCTTGAGAGACAGTGCCACCCTGTCCTTGCCATTGATGCCAAGGAAATCGAGTAGGCCTCAAAACACAGCTCTAGAACATTCCTTCTGGTCAGCTGTTCTCAGCCCAAGCCTTCCTTGCCTAGGATTTCTCAAAGGGGACTTTCCTTCTCCCTGGTTCTTACATCTCGAAGCAGGACAGTTGCAATTTGAGGAGTAACTAGCAAAGATAGCACTGACTGTGACACACATCTTAAAACATATGCTGCTTTTTCTACAGAGCAATAGTTGCCGACTTGTAGAAAAATATTACACGGGCCCTAGGGTAGTCATCCCAAGTCTTGGGTCAAGCCTTGGGGATAAGAGATCCCTTGCTCCTTATAAATGGCTGCACATCCCACAATGATTTCCTGGGGTGGGGTGCTGTATGTCATGGGCAGATTTGTTCAGGACATAGTTCTAGTTAGCTACACAAAATCACATGAAGCATCCCACGTCCTCCTCAGTGACTAGGCCCTGAGACCTCAATGATGGGTACATGCTTTACAAGGTAGGCCCATAAATATAAAGGGTGGGCACATTTCCTCTGTTCCCTTGAGCAAAGTCCTCCAGAAATTTGGCTAAAGAGCAATTCAAGGTAGCAGTGCAATATACAGTTCTGAGTCCAGAACAGACTGTTGGTTTCACAGAGAGCTGCTCTCATTCCTGATATGGGGACCCTGACAGCCCACCCTCACTCCAAGGCAAGGGAGGTCCTGGCTGAAAAGGCAATGAACAACACTCCCAACTCCCTGTTAACCTGCAAAGGGAAAACTACTGGGAGATGACACCACAGGGGAAATGGTCCTCCCCGGCTCATCTCAGGCCATTCCAGATTCCCCCAGACGGAGAGAGACACACATGCCCAACAGCTTTCCAAAAAGCCCTTCACTGTAAGCCGAAGTGAGGGGCACACAGACGGGGAAAGTGACCTCAGCAGACTTCTTGATGACACCTGTGAAGGGCAAGCATGGGGACACCTGACAGCTGCTCAGGAACTCCTTAGCCCAACACTTTCTGGATTCTTCACTGAAAACACACACACCAGTTTAATATTGAAGGCCCTTCACCATTACCAAGGTCACCTCCACTCCAGCCAAAACTCAGCAGCTCCTGTAGTCTAGATGCACCCTGGCCACCCTTGCTTCCTCCCTATTCACACAGCTGCTCCTCCTGAAATGCCTCCCTTAATGTCCTAGCCATCAGCTTTCTTCCTGTATATCCACACACCATCATTGGCCCTTTTTTTCCTGGGCTCTATACCTATTTGAGGAGCAAGAACCTGCCTTAATACTCCGTGCCTGCCATGGTACCTAGTCCGCAAAGATCACCTACTGAACCCAAGTTAAGCACTCTCTCTCTCTCTCTCTCTCTCTCTCTCTCTCTCTCTCTGCCTAATCACAATGCCCCAGGGCTGTTAGGACATACTCCAATCTTAGTCTTTCTCCCTCTGCTCGAATCTCTAGGCCCTATGTGGACCTCGTGAATCTGCTGCTGACCTGCGGAGAAGAGGTAAAGGAGGCCGTCACCCGCAGCATCCAGGCTCAGTGTGAGCAGAACTGGGGAGGCCTGTGCTCCATCTTGAGTTTCTGCACCTCCAACATACAGAGACCTCCCACTGCAGTCCCTGAGCGTCAGCCCCTGGCAGATAGGGCCCAACTCTCCAGGTCTCACCACCGGGACACAGGCCACCACCTATCAGAAGCCATCAGAGGTGCCAAGGGTGATCGAGTGAGCAAAAGCCACCCAAGTGCCCATGCCCGAAGTGGAGCAGGTGGCCAGAGCGCCCAGGGACCTTCTGGAAGCAGCGAGTGGGAAGATGAACAGTCTGAGTATTCCGATATCCGGAGGTGAAATGAACACCTGGCCATGAAGTCTTTCCTCCCAGCCGTCCATTTTCTTATCTATGGACATTCCAAAACATTTAACATTAAAGAGGGGGATGTCACACGCAGGATGTGTGCGAATTGTGGACTTCATGCAGGTGTATGAACAGGTGAGATTGTGACTCCAGAGCAGCAAGGTCTCAGGTGCCTGGTGGGTTAGCGCCTACTTAAGCTTATTCAAGGCAGTGTTGCCCTGGGTCCGCCTTGTAGCCTTGTCCCTTTCAGTCTGTGTGAGCTAGTGGGTGACTAAGGTGTGTTCTGTTGTGGGGGGGAGGTCAGACAGGGAGGGAAAGGGCCACACATGGGTGCTAGGTCCTACCCTACAGTTTCCAGTGCTGTCTTCAGGGGACAGGGCAGCTGGGTTTCAGGGCAGGAGTGAAGAGTGTAGCTATTAAGGCGAAGGAAGAACAGAGAGCATGCAGGGCTTAGCTACATTCAGTGCCAAACCGGAGTTTAGTGTCGCGTGGGACCTTGTGTTTCAGAGCTGCTGGAAGAGACATGGGGTAGTGCATTTTCTGTGTGCCATTTCTGAGCCATTGTTCTGTCTGGGGGACACTGAAGGAGTGGTCCTGTCTGTTTTGACCACTGCTTCAAATCTCAATTTTACTTTTTTTTTTTTTTTAATCCATTGACATCTATATGCCTGTCATCTAAATAGATGGCTTTCAGACCAAACAACTGGGTCATCAAAACCAGCTCAAAGGAGGGAGAAACCCAACTGCAGCCCATCTCTGGAGGGTAAAATTTTGTAGGGTAGCACTAAACCCCACGTGGGCTTCTACCCTCTGGAACAGACGGATACCTAGAGGAGAAAACACACTCCAGGAGCCTTTCCCTAGACTTTTGCTATCTCAGCTTGACCTCGGGCAAGTCCTGGGAACCTGTACATTGAATACATGTGGCCAAGTTGGAAACCAGTCTCTGCATGCCAGGAGGGAGAAGAGGAAAAGGGCATCGAGACCGCTAAGGAAGTTGCCTTTGGGGAATGTCACCCTCTGCATACTTGGGCAGAGAGCTATCTCTGAGAGACAGGGCTTTCCACAGCCAAAGTGGAAATTTAGCAACAAGGAAAGAAGTAGGTGGACAAAAGGAAGGCCAAAGGGGAGAGAAGGGACTTGTGACGGCGCAGCACTAAGATGTTCTGTGGTTGTCATAGTTACTACTTTTCCAGCCAGTACACACAGGAGCCAGTGCTGCAGAGTATGGGGTATCCTGGACTTGGTCTCTAGAGCAAGGCTCAGCCAACTTTTTCTGTGACAGGCCAAATAGTAATTAGAGAGTTTCAGTTCGGCAAGCCACACGGTTTCTGTTGCCGCTAGCCAGCTCTGCCATGGCAGCACAAAAGCATCCTCTACTGCCCAAATGGGAGGGCTTGGCTCTGTTCCACTAAGATTTTCTTCAACGGGCACCCAGCAGGACTTGGCTCACAGGCCATACATAGCATGCTCCCTGTACTAGGGAACGAGATGCAAAGCATGTATTCTGCCTTACCCAGCTACTCTAGTTCTCCCTGGAAGGCCTCTGAGGCCAAAGACAGCCACATTTCTCTAAACACTTCTCCACACTCGACTGGTGTGTCCCTATGCCCAGGATCCAATCTCAGTCTCATAGGCTATGCTTGAAAAAAGAAATGATTTGGGGAGGGGTGGGTCCATTATATGCTGAAAAACCTCCAGAAAGATGTGGGGCACAGAGGGGCTGTGCTTTTAATCCAGTTCTGCGGGAAGGAAGGAGGCCCAGCATGCCAGGCTCTGCCAAGGGAAATGAGTGTGGATTGTGGCGCTCTCGTGCCCTGTGCCTGTGTGGCACCTTTGACTGTCCTCTGCTTATGTCACTCAGACTTTCTCCTTCATACCTGGCTTAGCTGCTCCTTTGTCACCAGTTTCTGGGCTGGGTTCATCAGTGTCTGTGTTCACCTACTGATGTCCCATTTGTTGTTCCTGCTGTAAATATTTGTCATTTGTATTTATTATCTCAGTGTCTAACCCCAAAAGGCATAAACTCAATTCATTCAAGCCCACCAACTGATCTCTGTTGTGTATTTCCATGACTTTGCCATCCCTTCCCCCTCCAAAAATTAAAAAAAAAAAAAAAAAAAAAAAAAAAAAAAAAAAGGCATTTCAGGGTCCCTTGTGATTGGAAACATGAAATAGATTTATCTCTCAAGTCCTTTTGCTCAAAATTGTCCAAATTCTTGTGTGCCTCATGAAGGCATTTACACAATGTAAATGTAAGCAAGGCAGCTGTTGAAAACAGTCCCTCCTCAGGCTTCATGCTTCATTCACATTTACTAGGGTGCCTTCCTGTGAGGAAGGATGTGGGTCTCCAAATAAAGTTGCAGTGTTTATTTTGAGCTTCGAATCTTAACGAGATGATCTGAACACCTCTCCTTTGTATCAATAAATAGCCTTGTTATTCTAAAATGAGAGGGCCAAAGACAGCAAAACGCTGATAGCCCAAAACTGAATGACCAGGAGACACCAGCCTAGAACTGCATGCTGTCGGTAGCCTTGCACACGAGCTAAAACTCTGAGCCTGGCAAATGGCATCTCGGAAACAACATGGAGACGATGCTCCTGGAAGGAAAGTGTCACCTGGGCCTCCTAAGTCAGTGTCTGCTTCTGTTACGGAGTTAGGCAATAGGGCCTGGACACTGTCACACTGTGTTGTTTTCCTTCGAGTGTTAATAAAGGCTTAAATAAATGGCTTGCACTTGAGCAGTGTTATTTCTGGGGCACTTGGATGTGAGCTATAAAGACAACTGTGGACAGGAGGGCTGTTGACATTGCTTATCCTTCATACTTGTGGGAGGGAAGCCAGCCTCACCCCACCTCTTCAGGACTTCCTCATCCCAGGAATTCTGGCCAAGGCCCCACCAGAGCCACCAAGACAGAGGAAAAGGAATTCTCTGCCACCAGCCTAGAAATACCACCACTCTGCTGTCACCTTTCAATCTCACCCTTTCTTTTCGACTGGGGCTGCAGCCCCTACCATTGGCTTAATCACTCCATGGCTTGGAAGGGACTGTGTTGCTCACCCCCTTCACAACACTTGGACACCACTGCAAAGCAATACTGGAGCTGCTCCTCAGTGCAGCATGCAGCTTTCAGGTATCCCGGGGGGGGGGGGGGGATGTCGAGCAAGCATTACCTCATCCTGAGTCCCACTGTCTCAAGTACGGTGCCCATTTTGCAGGCAAAGAAGCCCAGGTAGGCCAGCGAATCACCTCACTATTGAAAGTTCTCTGTTGTCCTTGTGTGCCCTGTGATGTAGAGTGGGGGGTACTTCCATAGGTATACACACAAATAGCAAACAAACAAATGTAAATGCTTTAACTTGAAGAAGAGGAAGAAGAATCCCAGGTATAGATAACCAAGTGGTTAGAGAGCAGGAGCCTGAACTCCAAACCAGATGGGACCTCCTAGGCCCCTGCCCTGCAGGAGGCCTGGGGAAAGAATAAATTAACCCTTGTATGTATAGCACCTACCTTGGCAGAATTTCACTGCAAAGCAGGGGGGAAAAAATGGATGCTCTCACCTTTGCTTCCTACAGAGAATGAAGGGCTGGTTGACACAGACAGACATGAGCAGGAGGGTGCAACTGTGTCATGTATCCTCATGTGGATGACTTCCTAAATGCCCCCACAACCCACAGCCCACTGAGAAAAGCACCCAAGGAGCAGCTGGCTGGTATGAACACACCATCAAACTCACTCCAAAGCCAGTCCTATGTGCTGACCCATGCTCCCCTCGACTGCTTGCCACAGTCACCCTCAGCATGGCAGTCGGCAAGTCTTGAGGGACAGTTTTGTGCCCTTGTTCCTGCTGGTGCTTAGCTGATGTCATTTCCAAATGCAATTTACACATAAAGAAACTGAGGCTCAACCACATTGTACTATGTCCCATCTCAGGACAAGGCCACCTAGGTCCTAGGTAACATGCAGACCATGTGACTCCATCTGACACTGTCTCTCATCCCAGGTATGAGCACATGGCTTTAATGCACACACATGAATTCCGACAGACAGCTGCCTCCCTAAACCCCATAGCTGGATTATTAAGCTTGGGGAGAAAGAAAGCAGCGATGCCTCAAATATGCCTGGGTCTAAACAAAGTTCCCCAAGGGATATGGAGACACACCCCAAAATCTGGAGAGAGAAATCTGAATTTGTGCTGAAGTCAACAAAAAAGAAAGTCCCCTGCTGAGGAGGGGACAAGCCTTGGCCAGAGAACAGCTTTTATGTGAATTATTTTTTTGTGAGTGAAGAAGAGAGAAGCAACTTTGGACTGGAGTCCCATGTTACTGCCTGCATAAGCAGTTTAGTTTTATCACTCCTCAAAAGGAAAAAAAAAATTCTCTCCCCAAAGAGAAGCCACAAAGCCAACTTGAATTAATGCCTGAAATGGATGCCAACACCATGTACCCTGTCACTTGACAGGACCCAGACTCCATGGCTCCTTCGGGTCTGCATATAGCCATCATTGAACGTCAGATGTGCCTGGGTGAGCTACAACTTGGGAGAAACAAGAAATGCTCTTTTGAGGAAGTATCAGAGGATGGCAGCTTCCCAAGGGTTGTTAGAAGAATTGTCAGTCAGTCCTGTTTCCCAACATGTAGGGTACAGAAAGTTTTATCGTTCTGAAATTAAGGAGGGGAAGGGGCATGCAAAGAAGAAGAGTGATGCTGACGGGCACTGGGACCACCCGCTTGCCCTCCTGGGTACCAGTGACTGCAGGAAGGGCTGAGGGGCAGACAGAAGAAGTCCCTAGAATTCTTGCTCATGCCTCAGCAGTAGATACCAGGCAGCTATTCTAATCAGTTTATCGTTCTGTGGGTCAGAAACATGAAAGGAGTTCATCTAGATGATTGGACTCATCCCTGGCATTGCCTGAGGTGATGAATGACTAGAGGCTCCACCCCCAAGATCCCAGTGACCTCTATAAGATGGTGCCTCAATGCTCCCATCCCATCCCTGCCTCTGCACCTCATCCTCCAGGGCCTCTCAGAACATGGCTGCCTCTGGGTAATTTTCCTCTTCCACAGTAACTGTCTACTCCCAAGACAGGTT